TCTGTGTCTTCTGTGGCTTATTCCCTCCGGTGGTTGAGGCAGGTGCCTAAGAAAGCTTGGGTTTGAATACTTCCTCCACTTCTTATTGCTTAATCTGTCTGAATCTCAGTTATACTATCTCTAAACTGTACATGGTCACAAGACTTCATCCCTTGTTACGTTGCTTTGAGGATTAAAGGGCTAAGTACATGGAAAGCCCCGGAAACACTTCCAGGCAAATAGTAGTCACTTAATAAATACTTGTTACAACCATTGTTGTTTTTAGATTTACTGAATAAAAATATTCTCCGTTGCAGTAGAGAAATAGGGCAAGCCCACGGAAGAGCTTCCCAGCTGGCAGAAGTAGGGAACAGGAATGAATTGCCTAATAAGCAAAGGATTTCTTCCCTATGAGACTTAATGCCTAGCAGAGGCCTAAAGGTCTCTGTAATCGCTGAGGAGGCAGGGGAATGGATAGAATAACCCTTTCTTAGTTGCCCCCTCTCCACAATGACTGTATCTCGGCATTTGCTCTGCAGCTACCTAGGCACCAAACAGCATGGAGTCCTGGCTCTGAGGAGTTAAGACTAACACACTTTGAGATCTGAACCTACCTCCACAAGAACAGACTTCACCTCTATCAAGTGGGCTGGCAGTGAGAGCTTTCAGATGGCTGGGGCTACTGAGGTTCCATTTTTTTTTTTTTCCTGTCTCTCTCCTGGTGCTGGGAATGGGAGATGGGAGCCAGGGTCTCGGTCTCATGGATGCTAGGTGAGTGCTCTGTCACTGAGCCACACCCCCAGCACCAGGTTTCGTTCTGTTATACAGGATCCCTTTGCATGCTGACTTCAGCTCAGACCCTCCATTCTTCTCCCCTGCCTGCTGTGAAGGTTGGTGGTTGATACCACTGAGCTAAGACTTGGATGGGAGAGGAGAAATTTCTGTCCCAAGGCTCAACACTCTGTATGTTCTGGGGGAGACTCCAGGGAGAGGCCATGGAGCCCCGGGCTACACATCAGTTCTAAACACTTCAATTCTAAAACTAGGCCAAGTCATCAGGCCTTGGTCTTACCATCCATCAAAAACAGGCACTGGTAAAGCAACTGCTCCAGAGAGCTAGTTGGCAATGAGTTATTGTCTTAGTTACTTTTTTCTCATTGCTGAGACAAAAATACCCGATGCCCAAAGTTAAGGGAGGAAAGGTTTATTTAGCTCACAGTTTATAGAGGTTTTAGTCCATAGTCGGCTGGCTTTAAGACGGAGTGGCATGACAGAACGTCACAGAGGAGAAACAATTCATGGTGGACAGAAGGTAGCAAAGCAAGCAAGAGACCTTAACGGTGTCTTTCTGTCCCTGTTATACTCTATCTAGGCTATCTGTGTTAGGGAAGGTGTCAAACCAATCGGTGGAATGATTTAGTAATCACACACCCTTAATCCTAGCATTGCACCATGAGTCAGTTGCACACTTTAGATCCATCCAAGCCCCACCTATGACCACATGAACTTTGGCGGGGGGGTCACCCAGACATGAGCCATAACAGTTACTTAGGGAAATGGAATCAGCATGTTCCCATGGCCCAGTAATTTCAATCTGTGTCTGAGCTCCAGAGAATCTCACATAGGAACATGAGAAGTACAGAGGGATGAGCACTGTAGCATCATTTATAACAAGCCAGAGATTTAGCTCAGTGGTTCTGCCACCGGCCTCACACCATTTATAACAGGGAAGTAATACCTAGCTTCTCTATGCCTCAATCTCCTTATCTGTAAAATGGGCATGGTCATAAAACTATTGTGAAATTTCAATGGTTTAGAGGGTATTAGGAAAAGACAACAAGGTACATCATGTAATAAAATAGTATGCAGTAGTCAAGGGGAACAAGACAAATCTGCAAATATGAGATTTTGATGGTTTAGAAGGGATTAGGAAAACAAAACAAGGCACATCATGCAATGAAATAGTAAGCAGTCATCAAAAGGAATAAGACAAATTTACAGATATCAATGTGACTGGGTTATTTAAAAAACAAAATAAGTCAGGTGCTAGGGATGGTGATAAACCCCTGTAATCCTAGCACTCTGGGAGTGCTGAGGCAAGAAGCCTGGGAAACTTAGTGACTGAGACTCTCTCAAAAAAAAAAAAAAAAAAAAAGGCTGAAGATACAGCTCAGTGCAAAGGCCCTGGGTTCAATCCCCAGTACTGAAAACCAAAGAAAAACATGACCAGGCACCAAAAGACAAGCAGAACATGATTCTGGGGAGAGGAGGATGGGAGTGTGTGGGGGTTGGTCGATGGATAGAAAGTTAAATAGGAAGAATAAGTATTAGGATTCAATTGCACGGTATGATAACTAGAGTTAACAACGAACCATTGTGTATTGCAAAGTTGCTAAAAGAGGATTTTGAATGATCTTACCACAGGGAAATGATAAATGGTTTAGGCGATAGATATGCTAATTGCCCTAGTTTGCTCTTACAGTATATATACATGTATTAAACATCAAATTATAACCCCCAAAATATGTACAATATCATGTATCCATCAAAAATAACAGTAAGGGGGAAAGTAAGCAGACATTCTGCCACCACAGTGCCACTGTGTGATGTTTTAAATGAATATCTGTAATGTTTGTGCATACACGCATGGGGGAAGAAACTTTAGAAGGTAGACTGGAAAATTGCAAGTTTCAGAGAAGATCCTGGAAGGAGAGAGACAGAATGGGGTTTGTGGATAAATACAGGATCATGCCCAGACTGGTAGGAGATACCCTGAACTGAGAAAAAGCATAGCACTGCTCTCTCTATTATAGTCTATTATGTGCGTCTCAGGCTAAAACAACTGCAGATGCAGATACGTGGGTCCAGATAACCCCTTAAAGCCACCCAACAGAGCCAACCTGTGTTTCCCTGATACTTGAGAAGCACAGCTAGAGCTGGAACCAACAGTGGATTCCAGAAGAAGGACCAGGCAGATAGGGAAGCCTGATAGTGTAGCCTACCTGAGCTGTTGAACATCCATGATAGGTATAGATAGCAATGCCTGTGAAGCTCTATCTGTTACATAATCTGTTTATATAATCTGATTGTGACTTCCTGCCCCTGTCTGATACTGCTGCATTCGTCATGGGGCAACTCCTCCCCATTTCTCTATTGCTTCTTTAGTGCTTTATCATCTATAATTGTGTTTGGTTTTCTTAGTTATGGAATCCACCACAAATAAACAATGCTGTGTGTGGGACTGGGGCGGAGGCTGGGGAGAGGAACGGGCTGAAGTCAAAGCATCTAGATGTGCCTGTTTGGGCTTCCAGCAGTGACGGGTGTTTGCAGGCACCAGGAGCCAGTCTTGCAGTGAGTTTAGATTTCATCCAGCGCCTAATTTTTATTTGGTCTAAGTGTAGCTTGAAAACAACTAGGCTTGTTTGGGGCCAGTCTCAACAGTCCTGACATCAAACAAATGCAAAACATGAGTCCACCTGCAAGTGTCATGAGTGTGCATACTGTGTGGCATTTCCATGGGCAGAGATGAGGGATCCCACTATATGCTAGACAGCAAATTGGACAGCGGGATGCAACTGTCATTCTTTTCCAGAGAGCACCTGCTACATCTCGCCCTGCCTCCACCACAACACTGCTTTTCTTGGAAAAACTACCCTCTCAGGCTGCTCCAGGCCCTCTCTCCAAAAATCCCATTTCCAAGCACACCCCACTTGGTAAGACAAAAGCAAGCTAAACAGCAGTTGACCAAGTGAAATTCAGACTTGAGCCTCCATTCCTCTCAGCATCTCAAGTGAAAACCTGATGAAGACCAGTTCAACATATTCTGCAGGAGGTTCCCAACATCTTTTGGAAACATGGAGAAAATACACACATGCTGTCTAGTTTTTGCAGGCTACACTTGCGGAAACAGAGAGGGAAAGCACTGTGATGTAGAAATAGAGAGCATTCAACTTGGTCTACCGGGTGGGCATCTATTTTGGCTGGGAGTCCTTACCCAGGGACCTAGGTTCCCCTAAGAGGTCACCGGTTGATCTTAAGGGAATCTTTTTGCCTCTGCAGGAGACCCACTGCCTCCTTTAGAGCATCTGCCTTGAGGGTGAGGCCATGGTGGTTCACTAACTGCCTCAGAGGAGATGGAGCCAGGGTCGCATTCTCTTTCCTGGGGTGAAGAAAGAAACATACACTAGAAGAGCCACAGTCACCAGTGTGGAGAGGAAGAAGCAGCAGCACTGGATGGCAGGGCAGATTCTACCATGTCCTGGATGCTGGGCAGAATTTGAGGTGAGAACAAACATACTACTCTCAGAGCTGTTCTGGAAGGTTCCAGAGAACAGTAGTTTAGTCTGGGGCTGCTTTTGGATGTGTCTCCCCTGTTACGAGTAGCCACCAGGGGACTTTGAAGTATGGGAACCAGGGGGAGGGAACTGAAAAGGGCCCAAGAGCCAAGCTGGAAGGGATCTGTTAAGAAGGGAAGGAGCTGCCAGTGGTCCATGTGAAGGGTAACAGTGTGCTAGAGGTAAGGGTGCAGGACCAGAAGAGAAAAGCAGCCATGGAAATCTGGAAGTGGGAGTGAACACAAGCTGGAGTTTGAGAAAGACTGTTAGAGAAAGGGTGCTTGTGCTGGGCTTTGGACATGTGTGTTTGTCTCATCTGCTTTGCCTTGGCCTATGGTCCCAGCTTGTCAAGGCTGCTGGGAATGGCCAGGCATTTGCCAGATAGCACCCCATCCAGTCTGCAGAGCCTGCGTCCTTATGCATGTGGTTCTCTGCCAGGGGCACTTTTGTCAAAGTTGTGATGTGGTCCAAGTCCCAGTGGAGGCCACCTTCTGCTGACTTCTGTCGAGGAATTGACAGGGATATGTCACATGCCTAGGTCATCATCTTTCCCCTGACTCCCTGTGCTTTTTTTTTTTTTTGTACTGGGAATTGAACTCAGGACCTTGCAATTGCCTCCCTGTGTTTTTAACAAAGTCGCTTTAAAGTGTTGGGCAGCAGCTGTGCCTGAGCTTAGGTTCAGCAGGCATGGCAGTGCCCAATTCCACCCGTCGCTGTAACTGTCCAAAAAGGAAATGAGCTTGGCCCAACACAACTGGCTTTCCATGGTGCCGTGTTGGCTCCTTGGGACTGTTGCTTACATTTCCAAGGGTTTGGGCACCATCTATGTAGGACCAATGTGCAAGTTTGGAAGCTGCCATGTTGAGGAGCCATCTCATCAGCTTCCCTCCCCTTCCTCCAGGGAGCTTTCCAATTTGTTCACATCTGTGCTGGGAACTGGCAGGCCAGGGTCCTCCTACCTATTTTCTCCTGTTCTCTGGGGCTTAGTGATTTCTCGGGCCAGGAGGCAACTGTCCACTATGGAGGCAGAAGTAGAATGAACTGTAGTCAGAGAAAAGGGCCTTGACACCAGGTCTCAAAGGAAGGATGGGTCTGAAACTGGGACACAGTTGCTCTGGTCATTGTGGCCCAGAAAGCCTGGGCTGGCTCCTGTTCCTCCCTCCTCCAGGCAGTGGAGGTCAGTGTCTCTAAATTGCTAGTTATTTCTTTCTTCAATTAAGGGCAATTCTTCTGATGCAGGAAGTTAACTCCCACCAGTTAATCTAATGGCCTTGAGTTCTGATGTGTTTGCTGTGTCTGAAAGGCAGGGCCGGAACTGCCTTGGCAGCTGCTAACAGTCAGGCATTCAGGAGCTGCCCTGGGGGCCAGGCCCATGGTCCCTCTTGGACTCCACATCCACCTCTCCCTGTTGGACTGCAGGTAGGGGAGCTAACTGCCAGGACAGCTTAAAGAGAAGACAGGGATGGAGCTAGGGATCCTGGGTTCCCACACAGATAGCTTGGCCCACCGTCTCCCCGTCTGAGAAATGGGGAGAATGGTGTGTATGTGGGGGCAAGAGGATTTCTGAAATCCCATACTTGGCACCTTCCCATCACTGCCTGTGCCATCCCCTCCCCAGGCAAGCAGGTTAGGGCTTATGGTGGGGGAAGTGGTCTCAGTGTCCACTGTGGAGCATTAGGTGTAAGCAGCGTGTGCTTGTCTCATCTATGTGTGTGTGAATGTGCACACCCAAGGCTGTTTGTACCAGGAAATAGGGCCACTGATGGCCTGGGGTGGCTATTGCTGCTGTGAGCCAAGCGCTGGGGAAGTTCTGGGGCCTGTTTATTGCTTCTTCAGTCAGTGGTTTCCACTGTGATCACTCACACACCTGCAGACCAGGCTGTCAGACCTCTGAAACTCTCCCAGTGACAGGGAAGTGGGAAGACAGCACGGCACAGTGAACACAGAACAGCCCTGAGTGTAATCCTGCATGACCACTGGTGCTGAACTTTCTCAGCCTCTGTTTCCTCCTGTGTAAACGGGGGATGATATGAGATGCCTCAGAGAACACACACTGCTTAAATAACAGGCTACAAACAAAACTGTGAGCACACTGCTTGTCCAAAAAGTATTCATTGCTGTGTCTATACCAACCCCGGCCATGGAGTGGGAGACCTTCAGGGGTCCATTCACACTCTTCCTGCCTAAGACCTGCTTGCCAGGCTCTGGGATCCAGAGCTCTTAGGATAAAGGGGATTCCTGGGAAGTGAGACTTTCAGAGCTAAAACCAAGACATTCCTTGTCAAGTCCAGATGGTTGGCCACCTAGATGAAGCCACTGTAGGAGGTTTGCCAGAGCCCTGGGAAGCCTTTGTTTTTTTTGGTGAGGCATCAGAAGGCAGAGAAGGACCCATGAGTGCATCACACAGGATTCGGATTTCAGCTCAAATAAGGAAGCCCTAACATTCTTAGAGGTACTTCTTGCCTGAGGTACTGAGCTCCCTGTCGTCCTTGGATATAATCAACTGGGAGCAGAAAGGTGGCTTAACAGAGATCCTGTGGGCAGAGTCACAGCCCTGGAGTGGGAGTTAGACTAAAAGTCCTCTGAAGCCTGTGTATGCTGGGTTTTCATTAAGGAGCTAATGGAACCCAGGAGTGGGGAACCTGACACACTAGGTAGGGGTGGCAGGAGGGGTGGTGCCTGACTGTGGACAGTGGTTGGATGCTAGCCTTTCCCTGTTCCTGGGTGGAAAGCAGCACTTAAACATGATTGCACAATTGCACATTTCTCTGAGGAGCAGCTATTTCTAACCCTACCCAGCAGCGAGGAGCCAGGGAGATGGATTTAGGGGTTTTGGGGGCTGCTTAAGGCTGGTCAGACATTGTTTTCATCCACAGAGCCGGCCCAGTTCTGAACTAGGGAGAGGCCTACTTACCCCTCCAGCCTTCCTTAGGGACCCTGCCTCCGGGGCAACACCAGATGACTCTGTTGGGGCTGAACTGTGGACTCCCTACTGCCACTGGGCAGACACCCTACCCAGGTCACCCTTCCCCCCAGGAGGCCTGTTCCGCGGAATTCCCGCATGCTAGGTGTGGGGAGTGGAAGGAGAGTTGCTCACTGCCAGACCCCCACCCCACCTCAGGCCCAGGAGCCCTGCTGGCCTGGAGCCCCGGCTGGCTTGACGTGCTCCTTTAGAGTGAGAGGCACAGAACCCCTTTTCTCAGACCTGAAAAGGACCCAGAACCACTGGGGCAGGGGGAGGGAGGCGATGAAGGGGTCTGTTTGTCTCCGATCCCTGGGTGACTTCCCTCTTGGCTTTTTGTGTCCCCGTCTTCCTTTCTCTGGTTCTGTCACCCTCTCCTGCTGCCAGGCTCTGGGTCTCTAGTCTGCTCTGCCGGTCTTTCTCTGCCCCCATGGGTGTTTCTGCCCTAGGGGCGTCTCTCTTGGGCACTGTGTTTCAAGGTCTCTGCGCCCCTCTCCCCCAGTCTACATCTCCATCCCCGTCCCGACCGCAGGTTTCCGATCTCAG